AATTTCGAACAATATCAAATCACATCGAATCAGCCAGAAGAGCCTATCAAGCTTGTAAAATGTGTACATATCGTATGATGTACGATCGAATGAGGGGCCATTTTTGTTCAGCGGAAATTGCTTACGCTTCCGGTTCAATAGAATCAATATAGAATGCACTTACCAACTGCTCCATAAAATCGCATTCCAGTTAAAAATACACATGCACAAAACGTTCGATAACGTTGAATATAAATCTCTATTCGAAATGTTGTTTATTTCCGTGTGCTAAAGATGGAAAGATATGCAATTTATCTATGCAACCTGAATGGGGAATATTCACTAGGAAAAACACTCAATGAATACGTGCCATTTGCATCTGGTTTGTTCTTTTAAATTGTACAAACTACAGTAAAAAATCGAATCGGCAATACTTCACATATCTATACATACAAAAGAAGGAAAAAAAATGTTTTTCTATTTTACAGGAATGAAAAAGGAAAAAGAACACACACACAACACATGAGAATTTATGTGGGTCGTTCATTTCCTTTTCGATTCATTCGTTTTTCATTCAATATGCATAACATCACCTGATCACTGTTCATTGAACAGCAACCAAATACAAAAGTAAACATTCAAATAATATGGTGGTTAATACGATGGCAAAAAGTTTTTCATTTAAGTATTGGATACACAGAATATTTTCACCCACGAAAAAAAGGCAATTTGAAATACATTTTAAAGAACTTTGAGAAATTAGAACAAAGATTTTTATTAGATTGACGATATATAATATGTTATACGTATGAAGAAATGCACCAAGTTTTGATGTTCTCAAAATATGTTAAAAATAAACTTTTCGTCTACAACATATTTGCTTCCTTTTATGCTGGTGGTTCACATGAAGCTGAATTTTAATTCTAATGTTGCTCGGTTTAAAAGCAAAGACGTAAAAAAGCTTGAGAAATAAGATCCATCCAGAAACACTCTCAAAACACTGTTTCAACAAGTTTATTTTCTCAAGTGTACATTATCCAAACTGTAGCGACAGAATTTGAATATTTAAATGTTTCCATTTTAACGAGTAGCAAAAGTCGCGAAATCAGCTAATTTTCATTTAAAAAAAAAAAAAACAAAAGATTCACTGAACGTAAACATTTCAAAAATGCCATAATTCAGTTCTGAAAATATTCCTAATTTCTTCTAGCATTTCTTCCCGTCACTGTAACGCATAACAACTTTGAAAACAATACGACAGGTCTTGCATTTATTAAGTGTCATTCCAAAGAGTATATGCCATGTTCTAAAAATATAATTAATTTGAAACTCAGAGAACATAAAACCGAAGCTAAGTGGAAGAATTAAATAAGTCACTTTGTGATGAGTTGCTTTTTTCAAGTGCAATACTTTCAGTGTGCACTTTGCTACAAATAACATGTTCTGCACTTTATTCATTTGTTATTTAACTATTTCGCTCCGGTATACGTATATCGTGCGAAAATGAAAGTGAATAATCGTAAATTTAAATGTCATTTAACAGTTGGCATTTAACTTCACTATTCAAAAGTTATCTTTGCTTCAATTTAGAAAATAGCAATTGGACACGAAACGAAGATGGATGGCATTTTAATTAATTTGAGACTATATTTAAATATCGCTGCCATTACCAGCTTATAATATGTGTGCTATGACATATGCTTTTATCAGATTCACATTGGCTTGATTGGCTTAAATATAAGAATATCGGGCAGAAAACTGCCTCAATGTTGATAACAGACAACCACAAAAATGAAATATATCTTTTCGCTGTGCAAATTGTTGACTGTCACGCTCTAATTAGACTTTTAAAAAGCGAAGAAAACCTTCAGACAGTTTTCCAGCTGTTGTTGGGATGAAAGTGAGTCTTTTGCATATATTGTAATCCTTTTCATGTGTTATTCTAAAAAAAAATAGGTATTTTAATTCAACGCTGAAATGAAAATGGAAATAAATTGTCAAATTTTTGACAGCGTCTCGATAATAAAACATGGAATTGTACTTTTGTTTAATTCTTTTTTCAAATTTCACATTCCATGGACGAGAAATTTATGTTGAAAAACATTTCAGCAGAAAAGCAAACTAAATTGGGCAAGATATAAAGTGGTTTTTGCTTCGAAATATGAATAATTTATTTCAGTCAGAGTCATTTTGCTTGAAATTTCCGGCAGCTACGCGACATACTATTATTTTTGATTTGAGAATTACCGTTCATTAGGTTGCCAGTTTATGTCAATATGTCAGCGATAATCCAAGCCAGCGAGCAAAAATTTTCAGGGGGTTGAATTTGAACAACAAAAACAGCTCTAAAATCCCTAGCGAATCGAAAGATTTTCTTAAAAAAAAAAAAAAAAAAAAAAAAAAAAAACTGAAAAGCAAAAGGTCTTCATTTTTAAAATCAAAAACCATGGCAAATTCGAATAATTTCCGCGCGAAAAATTATTCTAATCGAAATCACAGAGGGTGTTAACCTCTCCTAACCCCCTTCGAACATTTCTGATCTAAGCGAAGCTTGATTTGCATAATGGAGACCATAAATTTGATGGCTTCAAAATTGATTCTGAAATTGATGAAGAAAAAGAAGTGAATATTATTTACATGCACAACCCAAACCTATTAAACCATGTATTAAACACCTATAAATAATATTTTGTTCGCCATGCGTAAATCATACAATTAAAATAAATACGATATTCTCGATATTATATTTGTATATCATTTTTGGTTGTTCGTCAACGAAAATACAAGCGTTTTTGTCGATTTGGTATCCAAGTCACGTTCCCCACAAGCCACACCGTGTTTTCAGTTTGAGATTTTTGTTTCCGCTTTCAGTTTCTCACCCTTGCACAATTTGGCCCTTTTTTCAACCGCGCACAACGGCCCAAGGCATTTACATAAATAACAAATGCCTCGTTTGCAATAAGAAACAACAAATCTATCTACAAAAGCATACAAATTATGGAATGGCACGCGACAATCTCTAAACTTCGTTTCAGTTTTTCTCATTTGCTTCCAAATTGTGTGTTTGTGTGTTGACTGGTTTCGTTTTCATTTTGACAAAGGATCGGATTGAGCGCAAGCACATTTTCGAAGCTTCACATTTCACCTCGTGTAGGCGACAAATTAATGTAACATGTGAAATGAGCGTAAATTTTAGCGTAGTATGCACGAACCACGAGTGGAAGTGAAGGAAATGCGAAAGGGGAATCCATGGAAACTTTTCGTTTTTGAAAGGATGTCAAATTACATTTGCTAATGTGTCAAAACAACAATCAACATGTTTCGAGATAAAGAAATATGCCCATTTTGCTTTCACCAAATAAAACTCACAAAAACATTGAATTGTTGTTGGCCTTTTTTGCCTCCAAATAAAATTCCACACAATTTTTCGATTTGCCGTTGAATTTCTTCATCTCGAAAGCAAAGGTGATTCCTTTGAAGAACTTTTCACGGCATCTGAACAAAAAAAAGTAAATTTCAAGAAATTCTCATTTAAAATTGATGGAATTGCTTCCAAATAAGTCTTCGCCTTCAAACGAAATCAAATTTCGAATTTTCTTGACTTTTCTTTCGTGTAATCGAAACATAATTTTACCAACAAAAATGCGATTCGTTCGATTTCTCGGTATTTCAAGTCAATTACAGACGCGCAAACAAAAAAAGAATTACGTAGACTGCTTATTTATATAATTTAAATTACAGAGGCTGACCAAATACAAAAATAGCCCATTAAAAAAGATGTTAAGCGCACATTCAAAATACGTGCCGCAGAGGACTTTCCGTTGAGTATAATATATGACACATGTGTATGGCTCGAAGTAATATGGCGAATGCCAAACCGAAACTAATCCAAGTGGCTTTTGGGTAAATCCGACAACCAACAATATACGATAGTTCGGAAATGTTCTGCTTCGAGGGCAATGGCAATATGAATCGGCCGATATAAAAAAACCCTATTTCTCTCTCTCACACTTTCACATAATTCATACACACAGTGTCCCAGTGTTTTTGGTTGCTACGGTTTGGCCCGATTTAATCGTTGAGTTTGGGTTCTTATGGTAACTTGCGTCTTTAACGTCACCAATTTCGACTGCTACAATGTGTACGACAAAAAAAAATCGATCTCAAATTACGGTACAAATTTTTTCGAATATACACCGAAGACTAGTAATTTCGTCATGCTGATGCATCGAAGCGCTACAAATTGACAACAATTAACGGTATTCAATAATGAATATTTAAGTATTTGATTTGCGTTTCGGCGTATTCACATCGAAGTAGAATCACGTATAGCTGGAAAGCTTACGAGGGAAAGAATGTGCTATTAAGCTCACCATAATCCTTTTGTTCTTTTTTCGTTGCTACGATGTAATGTGGTTTACATTATTTATAGTATCAACAAACACTCATTCTCTGTCGAAAATTACATTCGCGCCGAGACTTGGCCTTGTGCACCAAAACACCGAAATGGCTAGATAAACCATTCAAATATACACAATAGATAATAATGGACACCGGTGGAAAAGTGCATAGGCTTACATCGACTGACATTCATTTTTGGTCGAATCACTGTAGGTGTATCAATGAAGCCGTGTCATTTTGTAAATACCAGAAGAAGCAAAAAAGCATATCACACATAGTGGAGAGAGCCCCGAATTCATGCCGAATCAAATGGAAATGGAATAGCTTTGTTTGTCGTCATTCGACTCGGAAAATACGGCTTTTGCTAGACTTTCAAATATATTTTTGGATGAAACATAGTTTTTTTGCCATTTCTTATTCGCTGTTTTTCTATATCTGTTTATTCAGTTGCTGTATATCTATATATTCGGTTTTTATTACGTAATTTAGCCATTGGGGTTAGTGTTGTACAATGTGAACCCTTAACAATTTCAACATTTTCTATTCCATTAAGCTTTCTATATCATTCATATGTGTTCTATTCATTCTCTACTTTGTTTTCGTTTTTTCCCCTGGTATAGTTACTGCTGCAAAACACATCGACACAGAGTGAGTTTGGATAAAATTGGTTAAATCGATACGCTTCACAGCAAAAAAAAACGTTATATCGAATGCCTGACGATAATAATGACATGTGAATAAAGCGAACACTTTGGCGGTGATATATACGACTGACATTTGCATGTTTCGAATCACATTTGAATAATGAATTCTCATTTTTGTCCATGCGAATGCAAAAATCAATGCTAAAAAGTCAATGGTATGCGTCCATATAATGAGTTTATAATTTAAAGAGTGCATAAAATTCGAGTGATACGAATAAAAATTGCGCCCGTTTCAATTTCCGGCGTATTAAATTATCGTCAAAAATCAACAAAAACAACGACACCGCGCTCGAACCAAAAAATTGCCGATAATTTATATTTAAATATATATATCGAATTAATTGATGATATCGCTGAAAAACACCGGAGCCGAACTCATTCACGTACAACATTTGGATCATATATTTATTGAAGCATCAAATGGAATAGATCAACAATATAGACAGATAGATAGCTACATGTGTGACAGGACTTAAAATTAAAGCTCGCACACACACACATTCACATCGAATACATGGATTTATTTAATTGTTCAGACAATTTCGTGATTATTATAAATTGATGGGAAAATAATGATACAACAACAGCTACAACAATTGAAATAACGAGATAAAATATACGTGCAACAGCCATCAATCGAGAAACGACAAAAAAAAAACGTTCATATAAATCCGGGACATGAGATTTAATGTGCAATTTATAAAATTTTATTGATTGCATTTTATGAGGATAAAATGAAGTGTTGTTTGACATGAGAGAGTGAGAAAGAGAGAAAAAAACTTATTCGAACGCAATAAATTTTTACATAAAGATCACATTTTACTGCGTGAATGCGCACACCGCACATAAATTTAATATGAATTGACGTGAACCAACGGAAAAAGAAAAAAAAAACAATATATTTCAATGAATTATTGATCAAAAGTGTCATCAAATATGTTCAACCTATTCAATTAAACAAATTGACATGAACGAACAATAAAAGAAGAGAAAAAAATCAACTTTAATAGCCGTCAAATACACTTTCTCTCAATAATTGAAAATTTAATTGTTTTTCGAATTTATAAATTGACATTTTCAAAAACAACCGAAATATTCACAAACATTAAAACGTTGTGTGCAGTAAATTTCTATTTTTGAGAGCATTTGAAGCTGAAAATAAATTTTCCGGCATTTGAAACAAAAATTATTCAAACGAGGTAAGTCAATGAAATTGTTATACATATTATATTGGAATTCTTTGTGGAAATGCCAAATTGAAACCGTATGTTGATAAATGGGTTGTGGAATATCGCTATTTCTCGGATCTTTTAAAGTAATTTGCGCAATGTTGTTCCATCAATGAAAACATTAAGAAGAGATAAAGGAAGAGCATTTAATGAGGGTTGAATAACAAATTAAAGCCAATAAATTGATTGGGCCTTAGTGTTGGAGTGACATCGACATCGCAATATACCATCCAATTTTATATACGGAAGAGATGATGATCCGCATATTTACTCAAGGCAAATATAATTTATTTGCAATAGTTTTCACTCTATTATATTGTCATTTATGAGGAAAAAACATCGATTCCGCATCGTTGCCAATTTCACATGTGTGTGCACATTATTATGTCCCGTTTTATGACGTATATCTATATAAGCTGCATTAAGAGCATGGCTCATCACCGATATCACCAATTTCATTGTTCTTTAGTGGACAACGGACACAAGTGATATACGCAAAATTTTCAATTCAGTTTATTTTTAAACATATAATCCCTTTACATATTGTCGATTATACTTCTAATTAATGTGATAAGTCTGGAAGTTATTCAGTGCATCCATTGTATTTCGACATATCGACTTCGTCATGCAGAAGGCAAGTAATCCATTTAATCGACTATATGCATTCTACGGTGTGTGTGTGTGTGAAACGCAATGAACTTTGGAATTTACTCAATCGATCAAAATCGTGCATCAATTATTTAAGCGTTGAATTTATGCAGTGTAAGAGCGCACCAGGATAAAACACAGATCGAGCCAGACAAGAGGAGTGCACGAACAGAGAGATACCAACGGAAAAACGAGATAGAGAGAGAGAGAGAGAACCTTCGGATTAAAGCATCCGCCTGATAATAGAGTTTCACTCGATATGGTTCATAGCAAGAAATATACAACCAAAGCAAATTGTCTCTTGGCATTCAATTAAGACATCGGATGTTGGTAAATGCCACCCGCATTTCTGTCGCTTGTCTTGCATTCAAGCATATCAAATGTGTTATTTGTTTAAACATTTTATCTCGCAGCATGCATACACACATGCGAAAACGTTGCTCTTATATTGTGAATAGGTTTAATCACTCATGTCATTTTGGTTTAAAATACCCGGAATCTCATTTTCGTATCGAATTCAAGAAAGCACCATTGAACAAATTTATAGAAAGATGTTTTGGTGAAGAAGTTTCTTCGGTGGTTTTTGGTTGAATGTCTCATTTTAGTAGTTTTGTGACATTGAAAAAACATTTAATTGAAATTTTCCACTAAGATGCGCTCACATAAACCCCATTTGCCATGTCAACATTCATCTTTGTTGCTTTTTCGGCAATCAACACCCAGAAATCGGAAATGTGTGATTGCTTTGCCATTCAACGTAAAATAAACAATTTAAATAATGCGTGGTTTATTTGTATGTTTATTTGAGAGTTGGTGCGGGAGCGAGAAAGAGTAGGTGTATATTTGGTTAATGGTTATGGTATGTGAAGTTCATTTTCGATTACAAAATAAAATGTGCACCCTTCGTTCTTCTCGGAAGATGATCAACGTGCCATGATCTTTACTAAAAATCACACATCGCAAGCTCCACACCTCCGAATGAACGAAGTAGAACAACGAAAACATTCCAACCTTTAAATAAATACAATTCCATATGACACCCGCTTTGAATCCAATTTCCCATGGTTTCCAATTCGTTCTGCCATTCTTCTTTCGTTAGCTCTTTCTATCTCCATTCAAATGGTGTATGCGTTGCGTGTGTATTTCGCACCCATTTTGCTATTCAATTTCAGTTTATTTTCGCTTCCCTTAAGCCAAACGTTATTGTGTAGATTTTCGTGTATCGGGTTGCCAGTGTTATTTTCACCATATAGTATAAAAATATCCAATGCAAATTATACATCGGCTTTCATCGCATAAATAATTCAGAATTTATTTCTATGTTTGGCCATATTTCATGTGGTTGTATAGCCGTTTTTTTTTTGTTCTTTCTCATCATTTCGGTGGAATGTGTTGATAATTTAATGTACGCATGCCATTGTTTGCGAACCATTTAAAATGAACAAAAATAATGCGCGGTTACGCAGCATGCACGAAATCTGATAATAAATACGATTGGCAAAGGATGTGTGTTTCAACACAAATGCACAAATAAAATCGAATGAAATATGAAATAAAATAAAAGAGTTTATTTTCAAAGCGAGTAAGTGGTTGTGCGCGCGATGATAGATGAGGATGAGCAGAGAGGTGGCGGCCGAGAAAATGGCGCACAAACCACAACCATCCATGCATGTTGAAGCATTTTGATGCTTTATTTGTGCTCATTTGTTTGATGATAAAGAGATTCCAGTTCCCCGCCAGGCTGCAGCTAACTGGTCAGGTGCTGCTGCTACGGTGAACAACAGCAGCCGGTACGTTTACATTGTGTTCACACAGTCTACAGCTGCTCGAATAGCAGCAGCTATCCGGTTACCTCTTTAAAGACCATGCCGAATAGCAGTCGGTATTCATTAAGTCGCCTACAATCTCAAGCATAAAAAACCATGAATCAGGCTTACATTTTCATTTGTTGGTATAAGAATGTTGGTTGAATTCTTTGTACATTAACATTCACAGTTTATACAGGCAACCAGATAATCACAGACTACAATTCTTTTTAGCAATAGGCAACATCGACCATACTCATTTTGGATGAAGTTTACGAATTTAAAAGCAACCAGGCATTGCTTAATGTGAGTAGTTTTGTTTTAATGTGAAACACTTTCACTAAATGCCAATTCATTCAAATAAAATAGAAAAGGACATACCACACGCGCACACATACGAGCGCGCTCACACACGCATCAATGGTGAACAAATGAGAGATTGGAATAGAGTTCAAAGTTGGCAGTGGTACTGAAAACACGTACACATCTCACCAACCGGAGAGAACAAACGAGAGCAAAAGAGTGGTGTTAATTTGCAAAATGATAAAATGTTAGCTAGCTAGATGTGGCTACGAAATGTGTTTGCATGATGGCATTTTACAACGCAAAATATTTCACCGAAAATTTAAACAAATGTGTTTGTAAAGCGCTTTGTTGCATAGTTTTGGTTGTTTTAAATGCTTAACATGTATAAACGAGAGATAGAAAAAGCATGCTATTGCGTATGGCTTCACGCAAAATGAAAAAAAAAAAACAAAAATGCCCCCTCATTTGTATGATGTTTTGTGTTTGCCAAATAATTTTGAGCGCATGCATTAGACTTCATTTAACATTTGTCTTTGGCGCACTCAAAATAAATAACAAATAATACAGAGAACCAAAGAGATAGTCGTTGTACGTGATGGTAAAAAGAGGAAGCATTGTATTTCATGTTAAATTAACTACACTTTCGGTCTCTGTCTCCCTCTCTTGTTCGCTTCTCTCGGTGAAAACATCGAAAATTTATTTTCTAACTTCTGAAAAAAAAAACTGGCAAAAAAGGTTCTCACATCCGTACAATTAAAGACTATGTGAACACATTTGTTGGCATTCCATACAAATACGAGAGGCAGACATAGTCAGTTGCTGTTGCCGTCGAGTAATAACATAGCAAAGCAGCAATTACTTGGCTATTGCGCTTTTGTTCGATTCTTTTGTCATTTTGGCTCGATATTTTGGTGCGACAACTGAGGGTTCGAGGCGTACATCAGGCAAATAATTTTCCAAAATACCACTTTCCACAACAACATTTTTCACGCATACATACATAAAGACAGAGAGAGACACACAAAGTAAAAAGTAATATATGAATATCAACCCAAACAAGCGCGCTTCAGTTCATTTATACAATTTATATGCGCCACTTTTCGCATAAATAAATGAGGTAAATGAATGAGTGGAGCCGAAACTGAAATGGAAATGGAAAAGTGGGAGAAAAATTATTATACGACATGCCATATGAAAATTCATTTGCGTCCAAATGATTGGGTTATAATGTGCCGAACATTCATTTTGAGTACAGAAAATAAATCGCTTTTAATACGGTGTATGTTTCTTTTTGTACGAACGACAAAAGCATAGCCGACCACTAAAGAACGACGCAAGAGACGAAACGACCCAATTTTTCGTTGGCTATGTTTTTAAGTGCGCAAAACTAGTTATTATACAAAAACGCTTGTGAAAATTACTGGGTGTCTAGCTTTCAATTCTATCATGCACATATTCGCACTCTTTGGTTTACTTCGCATAGCACAAATAATGCTTTTTCTCTGTCCACTTGTTCCGCAATGTATTTATCCATTCAATGGCATTTCGTCCATAATACATTCCGAACTCTGTTTGGAAATGTGTTGAAAAAAAATCTATAATTTTTTTTTCTCGTATCGATTATTTCACAAGTGGATTTTTATTTGACTTTATATTTCTTGTTAATGGGGATGTTTTTATTGGTGCCGGTGCTGGTGTTGATTGCGCTGCCGTTGATGCCATTCGGTTATTGCCGGTGCTGTTGTTGGTTGATGCATTCAATCCGATGGTATTTGCTTCCGATGTTGGTATTCATTTTATAAATATTTTCCATATATCGATTACCAACAAGCAAAAACCAATTTTCAATCCTTTAAAGCTGGACGTAAATTACGTTCAGCTTATTTTCCCTCTCTCTCCCCCGCCCATTCCGATTTTCTCTGTCAGTCTCTTTCTCCCTCATTTTCACTAGCTATTTAAGCTGCGCACAAAGTGTTGTATAACATAGGCTTGTTGTTTGAACGTGTTCGCTTGTTTCGTATTTTTTTTCTTCATTTAGTCGGTTGGTATCGAATTCCACTATTTGCGTTAAGAGTTAATAATCTATGAACATGATATCGGTAATGTTTTACCAAGCGAATTACGGATGGAAATGGCGTGGTTTTCAATAACAAGGCGATTCAACCAAATTCTGTCTCCCTCTCACACACATACCCACACACAGCCAAATCG